CGAAGTCAAAATCTCCACTATAATCAATAATGGGTACACCAAGTTCTCCCTAGCAACAACTAGAGGCATACAATAATAATATCTCGAGACAATAAATCTCGGCAAACAAAGGGAATAAACTGGGGAAGAAAATTAGAAAGATCTCACTTAGAAAGTAGCACCAACTACCCACTGTATCTGACTGTAGGTAGCTCCAAAAGAAATCTCCACCATCCAGATTGAAGGCCCTCGTGTTACGAACACGCTGTCAAAATTTCACCTCGATCGGACCACGGATCGACCTCCGATCGTGCAAAAAATATCACTGTACGGAATGAATTTCTTTTCCTTTTTCTTTTCTATTCTCTCCTCGATATGCGTGCATAGACTTTCCCTCTCTCTCCCTAATATGGTTGACCGGCTGCTAGGTTAATAATATATATATATATATATATATATATATATATATATATAACCCTAAACGGGCCTAAAGGTGTTGGGTTTTCACACATGTGAAATAATACCCAACAATTCTCCACCAAAAATCATTGAGTTTCTGTCCAAATTTGCCACACTAGTATGGTCATAATTGTCACGTCTTTGCTTTTGATTTCACCCTTCGTACCCATGGAAATAATTGTCTTCATCTATATAACATGGATCACTCCCTTCCCTTTCCTAACCAATTTGGAATTTTGTTTGGACTCCCTTGCAAACTCTAGAGATCAATATGGACTCGTTTATTGGCTAAATTTATCTTGGTAAATTATTGTTAATGATTTTCCAACAACAAATCCTACTCTTTGGAAGTGTTTTTGCCTTCCATAAGCATTTCAACTTACGGCTTTTGCTTTCTCTCGCAATTGAGAACCCAAGCCCAAGTAGTAGTTACTTCTTACAGAAAAATGCCTTTTTTGCCAGTCCCTATATAACCTTATCATTCATTCCTCTCTTAGGCAAAGGGATCTGAAGTATTAGATCGGCTTCAGATTCCAAAAAACTAGCTCGAATCTTGTCTTCATCCCAAGAACCTCTGTTGCTCAGGATGAGCCACGTTGTTGGACAAAAAAAGTCTGTGACATCCTTCCCTTGGAAGCCATTTCCAATTCTCTACTGATGCCCTCTTTTATCAAACCGTTCTCTCCCCCACACGATACTCCTCCAAATGTAGGAAGGATTGTACCCCATAATTTGCTTTCAGTATTTGCCTCTTAGATCTTGTAAAGGAGACTATTCTGGTTTTCAAGGATCCTCCAGCTCTGCTTAGCAAGCATTGCTGGATCAAACATCTTTACGTCTTTAAAGTCCATACCTTCCTGATCATTCCTAACACATAACTTCTTCCAACCATGTGTATATCTTTCTTGTCTCTTGGATGGAACCCCACCAAAACTTCGCTTAAAGCCCATCGATTTCGTCACATAAAACCGCAAAGCAGCTAGTACTCTAATTCGGAATTGCTTGTGCTACTGCTATTATAGTGACTTCCTTGCCTATGGAAGAATATTTTCTTTCCAATCTTCAAGCATCTTCCACACTCTATATTTTATGGTACTAGAGATCTGACATTTATTTCTGTCCCACATCTTGTACCAACTGCTCGGTGTGTTTACTTTTACTTGGTTCATCCTTGATAAAATCAATCATCTCAAGATCTGTGTTATTGCTAGCCATGAACTGAAAATCTCACTTTGGTCTCAACTGAAAATCAAATATTATTTTTCTAAATTTTCAAATTAAATCGAAATTAATTCCAATTTCCATTTCTGATTTTTTAAAAATTATTTATTTAAAGTTTTTGCATTGATTTCAAACAAAAATCCTTGAAATTTATTTATTTTTTTATTAACCCAGATTTATTTCTTTTTCTTATCAATTTAGACATCAAAATGGAATTAACTTTAAACTTCAAAAGGTTCAAATTTTATTCTGTTTTCTTTATGCAAAAGTACTCTTCCTAAATTCTCAAGAGGTAACAAAATTTCTCCTTCTTTGTTATTTAATATTCCATCAACAATTTTTATGTCTATAGATTCGACATCCACATGAGCAGTGGATAGACATTTCCATTAGGATATAAAAAATGGACAAATATAAAAAATATCAATAATATATCACTAATACATACATAATATTATTATTAATCTTTTATTTTAAAACTTATTTCAAGCGGATGAAGTCTCTATTTCTTATAAATACTTTTTATTTTTAATAATTTTTTTTTCTCTTGCTCTCTCCCTCCTAATTTACTCTCTCATGAACATATAATTTTTTTTATAACTGGATGTAGGTATTTTTTAACTTTAATGTAGTAACGAGAGGTTGTGCATGACTCTATTAAAAACTAAAATATAATAATAAGTTTGTGATGTTTATGTACAATTTTAATATTAATGTAAAATTATTAGATTATTTTATAATCATTTATCAATTTATCATTTATCGAGATCTAATATCCTCATAATTAAGTAACCATACAAATATTACTTAAGTTATTAATATGATTTTGAAATATGATGCCTCATAATCAAGATATAATTAAGGTCTCATTAAAAAATTTTCTATCATTTTCATTATTTTTTCTCGAAGTTTCTGCCAACATCAATATAATTGTTTCCAATATTTTAATCAAAATATGATGATGAAAGATGGTCAATTGTAGCCTAATTAAATTATAATTAACTTTTTTTACTAATTTAAATAATTATTTTCCCAATTGCATGATTTTTATAGAGATTTTTGTCTACATTGACATTTCAAAACTTAAAGGCACCAATGACTAAAGTTTTATCTCACGTAACCTCATGGGAACGACCTCTTCAATTCTCTATTTTATCTATATGTTCATGACATGAAAATAAGGGATGAATCGACGTTTCAATTATATGATTAAAATAATTAAGAAATATTAAAATATATTATTTATAGACATAATATTAGTAATAAAAAATTTAAACCTATAATGAATATTCATTGTTTTAAGTGTTTTTACATATGCGTTTGGTAGCACATTTGGAAATTAAATCTTAATTTAAAAAATTGTTCCACGTGTGTTTAGAAATATATTTATAAACTAGCAGTAATTACCAATTATTATATTTGATTTTGCAACGTGATATAATTTATAATATATTATATTTTACATGTCTTAATTTTAACAAAAATCAAATAAGTTTATAAAATCAAATAATATATTTATCAAAGTTTTTATTTTTTTTAATGTAATTATGCATCTAAAAATTTAAAATGGCCACCAAACCTATATTCACCAAATCATTTGATTTAGTAAATCTAAAAACAATAAATAGAATTCGGATGGCCAACCAAACAAAGCTTACTCATTCGCAATTTTAGATCGATCACTTTTTAGAGAATCAACTTTCAAATATTTTCTTAAAACAATATTTTAAAACCAATCTATTTTTTAAAAAACTACTTCTTGTTGGAATGATTGATAAGCCCTCACTAAAATTAATTCTAAATCTCACCGACTTTGACAAGGAAAAACTCACTCTCTTATAGGACTCAAGAACACACGACAAAGAATATTGTTCTCCTGTAACTCTCTTGGTTACAAAGAGGGAAATGCGCCCTTTAGATAACACCCTAGAGAAAAATTTTAAAAGACATATTAAAAATGGATACACGTGTGCATATATATTATTCATGTATTTCAATACATTAACGTACATGTAGCTAGGAATTCATGTATGTATTCAGAGAATTGCTTATTTTCTAACAATTTTTACTTATTACCAAACTCTTCAGATTACAATAGAATTCTCTGGTACAGTCATTCAAGAAGTCCTGCCGAACCGATCTGATTCTCTGGACAATAAGAATTTCATACTTCAGTTGGATCCTCCTCATCTCGATTGAGCTTGTGTAAATATATTTTTAAAATCATCCAAAATCATGTAAGAAGCTATGTCATAACAAACAGAATCTAACAGAGTCTAGACACAGTTGCTTCCATTGCTTTGTTGTTGTAGCTCATCTGAAAGGTTGGTCAATTGGAAACATTTCCTAATACAAGAGTCCAAGGCTTGACATGATTCTTATCCCAAGAACCAAAAATTTTTGGAACTTTCAGCAACTTGAAACATTCAGAAATTTTCCACATTTCAATGCAAGGAAAAACTGTAAGATTTGGTGCCAATGTGACTTCTTCCCACTGCTCTAAGTTGGACATTTTATTCAGTGTAAATTTCTTCAACTTGGGGAAGAAAGTTCTTTGGTCAGAGTCATTTCCATAAAATTCATTGCCTATACTTCTTACGCTATGTAAGCCAGAAATACAAAGTTCTTCTAGGTTGGTTAATTGTCCAAGCATCGGAAGCCTTTCACAATTTTCACAATCAACTAGACTTATTGCTACCAAATTCTCAACAAAAATCTTGTTTGGCAGACATTCACCTAGAAAGGATTGGATGCTCAAAGATTGAAGACTTTTGTGTGGCTGAAGTCCTTCCAATACATCCAAGTCATTGTGGTTATTATATTCTCTTTCAGAAGAGCAAGTCCAAGTAAAGGTAAGCTCATGTAAATTCTCCTTTTCCCCCAATTTTGCAAACATGGCTTCCTCTTTGCTCTTGATTCGCTCTAGGTTGGAAAGATTCAAACTACCTTTCAAGTTTTTTAAGGGTCCAAGTTCTGTGATCTTGCGACCCTTCTCGAACCCTACTATAAAAGTTGACAACGTTTGAAGTTGAACCAATTGGCTCAAATGTGAGGGCATTTGTAGGATTTTCTTGATTCCGAGGAAAAATGAAAACTCTAAATGTCTTAAACTGACCAATTTTCCCAAATTCTTTGGAAGATCTACAATCATCGTGCCTTCAATCCTTAGTGTTTGCAAATGATAAAGTGAAACGATTGATTCTGGAAGCTCATCCATTGAACAACCTGAAATGTCGAGATATCTCAAATGTTTTAACTTACCAATTGAATCTGGTAACTTCTTAGCATTCCAAAAATTAATTATCAAAACACGCAACCAAATAAAGTTTGACATCTTATCGTCAATCACCTGCTCTCTTCTGTGAAGCGTCTCTCGACGACAAATGACTGTGCGTAACTTACTTGCGACTTTTTCACTAATCTCATTCCTCCAATGTTCATTGTCGAGTAGATTGCAAGGATCTAAGTGCAATTTTTTATCATTTGATATGTTGCATGCAATATCATGTATAAGATCGTGCATCTTAAAACTTATAATTCTGCCTTTACCATCTTTAATGATATCTTGAAATAAGCAACGGGACAACAAGATCTTGAAGTATGTGTCTCCTTCATCCTCCATTGTTTTGTTGCTTCTTCTTTCTTGAAGTTGAATAAATCCTTGTGCCATCCACATTCGAATTAGTGGTTCCTTTTCAAACACAAAATCTTTGGGAAAATTGGAACAGTAGGAAAAACATTGCTTTAATGAAGATAATGGTAGACGATCCACACTCAATTTCAATATGGATAAAACAAAGCTTTCCTCCTGCAACTGCAACCGAGTTCTTATTATACTTTCCAATGTTGTCACCCAAGTTTCATAGTCTCCTTCAAATTTCACTGCTCTTCCAAGAACTCTTGCAACTAATGGTATACCACCAATTTTTTTAACCAACTCTTGAACAACTTTCAAACTTGAAGTGATTGATAGTCCATTTACATTTGCACTTTCCAGAAATAAGGACCAACATTGATCGTCAGAGAGTTTACTTAAATGATGATTAGGAAGGGTTTCCATGATTTTTGCCACTTCAGCACTCCTCGTAGTTACAAGAATACTATTTTCTGATCTTTCAGTGATCCTCATCAAACAATTCTTCAACTCATCCCACAAAGAATGACTTTCATTCCAAACATCGTCAAGCACAAGAAAATATCTTTTGCCGTGCATCTCTTTTTTAAGTTCATGAAGTAAGGCCTCCTTATTGTCCAAACCACTGGAAGTACCTCTCAAAGTTCCTAAGATTGCTCCCAAAATCTTATTGACTAGAAAAGGTTCAGACACACACACCCATATAGTTTTATCAAAATGTGTTTTGATCCTTTCGTGATTGAAAACCACCTTTGCCATTGTTGTTTTTCCCAGTCCACCCATACCCACAATTGGTAAGATAGATGTAACATGTGTATTTGTTGCATCGATAAGCTGGTTAACTATCTTTGAAACTTCAACATCCCTACCCACAACTTCAAAATCATCCAACTCTGAGATTGTCTCTCGAAGTTGGGCAATATCAATTTCTATTTCAGCGGATCCATCACCAACAAGTCCCAAAGGACCAGCCTCACAATAATGTTTACACAACAAGTCTGTAATGTTCTTCATTTTTCTCGCCATCTTGACACGAAAGGCAAGAATATTATTAGAAGGAGAAACGAAATCACGTACCTTCTTCATTTTTCCTGTTACAACCTTTCTTCGAAGATCTTCATAAACAAGCTCGTCTAATAGATGCTCAGCTTCATGAACAAGATGTTGAAGTTTGTCCACCCACAGCCGCACTGAATCATGATGCAATTTTCTTTTGTTAATATCACGTAGGAAGGTTTCAGTCTTGAGTAGCCATTCTCTCAACTCGTGTAGCTCCTTCTTCAAGCCCCATGCGAGGCCAATTTGCTCAGCTGCAACTTTCGCCACTTTCTTCAACACTTCCTGTACAGCAAAAGTCCATAGGAACTCAGCCATATGGCTCGGATTTTACTTCTTCAAAAAATTTGCAGTGGATTTAGGGAAGAAGATAAAAGAATTTCACAGGGTTTATGAACCAAAGTGGGGTTTGTAAGTCAAGGTGGACTTAGACGACTGGGGAAACTACGCAGAAGGGACCAAAATCAAAACCCTTTTTACCTAATATGGTTGAGACTGCCATTTTTCTGTCTTTGTCCCTACCAGAAAAAAAGTCTTATCCTTGTCTCATTGTCTAATTCTTGGAGTCGGGCAAGTTTAGAAAGTTTTAGAAAGTTTTAGAAAGTTTCATTGTTGTTTCATTATTCTACTCAGTAAAAGTCTCATTTGTTTCAAAAATTTCATTTTAATTTTTAATTCTGCTAAGCCAAACTAAACCTACTTCAACAGTAATTGTCATATATCTTAAATTAAGAGGTCTTGAGTTCGATCTCTCATCCCCACATGTTTTACAAAAAAAAATGTGAACTCATTTCTAAATTACAAAATGACAACGAAGAAATGTAATGTGGTGATGAATGGTAAAATGAGAGATATAAGTAGACACAAATGACATTTGTTGCATTTTAGTCATATACAAAATGCTACTGACAGGGGTGTACATTCATCCCGAAGACCATGGTTTGCTTGCCTCTTTTTTCTTTTGATATGAGGGTTGGGGTTCGAACTCATGACCTCTTGGTCAGAGATAAGAGTCTTAACCATTTGAGCTATGCTCGATTTGGCCGGTTTGCTTGCGCCTCTAAACATTTCCTCTCAAATCTTTTGATGACATAATTTTTAATGTGTGACTAACATCCTTCAATTTTTTTTACAGTTCACCACCATGTGGAATTTGCATCTAGGAAAGTTATTTTGAACAAAAGGTTAGGAGTTATAAATGAGGCTTTTTAAAGTCTATGGGCATAATCGAAACTTAACCTCAATCTTAGGGAAACCACCTATGACCTTTCTTTTGACAACCCATCCCCCAACTCACGGTATATTTGAATTCTATTTTCTTTTTAATTTAATTTAATTTTTTTTTTTGGTATAATTTAACCTGATTTTTAGGATGGAAAGTATGAGGATATAATTGTAAAAAGTAGCCTTACTTTAAGGTCTGCTTGTGCAAGTTGCACTATATTTAATTTTTTTCTTTTCTTTTTTATACATATTCAAAATTGACTGCTATCATTTGTCCACATATTCCTCTAATGTTGAGAATTTAATTACGTGGAAACTCTCAACATTAGAGGAACAAGCCACGGAGCAATTCCAAACAACTTCTACCGTCAAAGTAATGAGTCACAACGAAATTTTCTACCTAGTCAGAGGATACAAACAACAATCAATAATACATCCGACAATAATCTAGCTAACAACAACCAGTATATAAAGATGTAAAAGGATCCATAGGATTTGAAAAACAGAGGAAGAAAAATAGCGATGTGCCGTGTGGATGATCCACTGAGTTAGAAACAATTTTGGCACGATCTCGGTGTTAAATCGTATTCACGCCAATTGTTCTCCAAGGTTAATACCACATCCAACTCATACGTGCACTTGTTCGAGAGGATTGGAATTGATCGCTTAGAAAGAAAATTGAGAAGATTTTATAAATGGATTCATGTTTAAGATTTTATACTTTTGTGTATTATGAAACCCTTTTGACCTTCACAAATTCGACATCTTAAATATATATTTAATTAATACAAAAAATCAAAAATCAATTTGCAAAACTGAAATCTTGGGAGGTATAAAGCAAATATCCCTAAATAAACCGAATATTTTAAATCCTTAACAATACCAAAGCATATCTTTTCATTCCATTCTCAATCTGATAGCCACCTTCTCTCTCTTCTTCTATTTCTCTCCTCCGTAGCCACCACCATCAACCTTTTCACTCCCTTCTTTTTCTCACTTTAAATCTCTCTCCCTCAAATTCATCCACGAGACCTAGATCGACGACTCGAGGGTAGTGAACGGCAGCGGCACTACACCCACTCCGATGATCGGTCTCTCACGAACTCTGGCGTCCACGAGATCCAGTGGTGGCCACTAACTCCAGGCCTTCTTCTCCACAGAGTCTGGTGACCAGCGACGTGCGAACAAAATTCGGTAACAATATTCGACGAGCAGTGGCACATATCTACATGACCTTCAATCTCTATGAGCAACAGCGAGACCTTAGATCAGCAGCCATGATCGAATCTACGATGACCCAGTTGGACGCACAATGATTTCTTCCTTCTGCCCAGATCTACGGTGGTCGTAGGAATTTTCTTTTAAAGAGAAATTATATGTTGGGAATATAATTAAGTATATGAAATATATGTTAGGTATATGTTTCTTTTAATTAAATCATGTATATGCAACATAAGTTGGTTATCTTATGGAATATATGTTGGGTATATGTAATACATTGGGGCTATATAATTATCAGACTATAAGTTCGAAAAAAATATATATTATATAACCTACTAGATTTGTATATAACAATGAAAAATCTATATTATATAACATTTTGGAAGAGTATATGTTTATCATATTGGATATTACAATGAAAAATTTATTATATAATTACTGTTGCAATATACTATATAATCAAATTGTTTAGTATATATCAATAAAAAGTGTTGAGGGTAAATTCGAGCAGGACACGTGTCGGGTTGCAGGGGTGACAGCAAGGCGCCAGACCACAGACAGTTACACATCGTATGCGGTGTAGGTAGGTGGGTGCGTTGCACCTCTGCTGTACGACGAGAATGCAGAGCACCGCGACTTGGCACTTGCAGACAGAGTCGTCACCCACTGATTGTCGGAGGCGTACACTCCATTGTTAGGACCTCATATTGTTGGGTGTGTTGTCCTAAACTCGTAGTTTGTATTTATGTAGAAACAAATGTATATTCAATAAATTTTTATTCAATAAATTTGTCGTTGAATTCATAGCATTGCATTGTCCAAAATCCAATAAACTAAACAATTATTTTCATGTAACCGGGACAGTATATATACTGGGTATATATTTGATATACTAGGTATATATTTGATATACCCGTGATATATGAGTGGATAATGTCCTGTGAATAACTTAAAGAGTCTATAGTATCTGGATAAGGCTGGGTACGTTATCCTGACAACACTATGGATACGGCCCACTTTATAAATGTTAAATAGACAATTTTTAGATGTAATGCCGTTGACTAATAGATTGCTATTTCATAGGATGACAAAACAACTCATTCTCAATCCTGAGTGAGTTATGGACTTCTGCCCGTGAGGGCTCGTCCTTTGATCTGTATGGGTGAGAGTGGCCCAAGTTGCCGACTCAATATTCCTACCATTTTGGGGATGAGACCGAGTGGAGAGCTGGGAACATAACTTCACAAGATGGAATTCACTCCTCTCCGACTTTAGGGGAGTAGATGAGCGTTCTCTTAAATGCTGACTCCAAGACTTGAACAAGGGTCCCACCCTCTCACTGGCTCGAGAGGGACTTCCGGTTATTGGTCGGACCATAACCGGGTTGTTCATTAGAGGAGCAGTGGTATTTAAGGAGTAAGATGTAACTCAGGGTAAAACGATAATTTGACCCAACTTGAGTTACGAGCACTGGTGAAGGATTGACTTGTCATTAATGGTCGTATATCCGTGGACACGAAAACATTATGTAGTGAGAAGAGTGCAACTACGGGTCTTTAGTGGAGTAACCTGTAGTTAACGAATGTTGATTAACTCGGTCAATGAGTTTGACCGATTAATCTCGTATCATTGGAGCTTCTGATCTGTAGGTCCATTAGGTCCTCTTGCTAGCTCATAACGGGTAAAACGAGGATCAAGGTTTTGGAAGAATTTGAACTGTTCAAATTGCTCAAGGGAATATATGTATATTGATACATTATAATATATAGTTAATTCTAAATTAAAACTATTTATTATGAGAGAAATTATTTGAATGAGATTCAAATAAAATTAATATCAATAAGATTCATATTAAAACTATAGGTTAAAAATAATGTGCATAAGATGTACATTACGACTATAGGTTATACGAGGTAGATGCATTTGAATAAGATTTAAATATATGAGTTTAATTAAATATGTGATATTTAATTAAATCTTAAATAATTAATTGTTAATTATTTATTTAATTAATATTAGATTTAATTAATTAATTATTAATTAGATTAATAATTAATAATTAATAATTTATTTTATTCATAATTAATTAATTAATTATTATATAAAAACTCCAGTGCAAAATTGTAGGGGAGTGGGAAGTTGTGACATGGGAAGTTACCCCACGCCACATTTGCTTAAACTGTACAGAATACAGTTATTCTTCCTCTGCAAGAAAAACTTAGCATACTCTCTCCATCACAAGCTCTCTCAATTCTCCCTCTCGTTCCAAAGAAATGCTCCCACAAGCGTGTTCTCGAGACCCAAGAGGATAGCTCGGAAGATTCGGGTGGAAATTAACTTGAAGAATAGTTCTTCAAAGGTAAAAACATTTTTCCACTGTATTTTCATCCTTAAATGTTTGTTTTTGTTTTCTCAAAAAATCATTAACGATGATCCACTTCCGCTCCGGGATTCACATCTCATCAATTAGTATTAAAGCCAAGTTGATGTTCTGATTTTTTGGGAGCAAAATCAGTGTTCTTGGTGGGTGTTTTCATATTTTCCAAATATGGGTTTGCGGGTTGGAAAATTTCCGGTTTTTGGCATGTAGATTGCAATTTAAATCTTGATTTGATCATGTAAAGACCCGATTTTTTCGGCCTTGTGTTTCTGTATTGAGTCTGTAAGTCCGGGTTGCTCGAAAGTTGTTCGTGGCATCGGATTGGGTGAAAAGTTGCAGAAAACAGCGAAGAAAACGAAGCAGACCGCGTAGACAGTGCCATGGCGATATACAGCAGCGCCATGGCGCTGCAGGGACAGCGCACAGTGACACGGCGCTGCATTGTAGCGTCGCGGCGCTGTGCAGCGCCATGGCGCCATGCTATAGCGGCGGC